ACTGTTGATCATCACCTAAAACAACCAGAGAATTATTGCCTACAATTTAACTATTTATTTAACCTAACTATTTACTAGCACCACTTTTAAACTTTTGTTGCACAACTGATGCACTATTTGAAGGGGATGCTTTTGTGTTAACTCTAATACTCAGGTAAGTGATTGGCAAAGGACAAAAAAAGCAGGAGAATATACAGAGCCACATGCTTGCTCCATAGCCAAAGTGCTGATCCAGAATCTATCCTCATTATTTATTTATAGTGCTATAATTATATATATATATATATATATATATATAATATATATAATATATACATATACATATATATAAGTAATCAATATCAAAATAATGTATTTATGTTTACATTCAGTTTGTTTGGCTATTTGTGTGACCATCCCCTTTGCTTGAGGCAGAAGAAAAATTAAATGTTTAAGTGGAACTACACTTATCTGCGTCTACAGCACCAATGCAAGGGTGTAGAATTTGGTAGGGGACAGTAAGTCTCTATTGTCAACAGTTAAAAAAACGAAAGGGCTACAGAATACAAGTATCTTGACATTTGGCTTGATGACAAATTTACATTTAAATGTCAGGAACCTTGTTGGCAAACTACAACAAACGATTGGCTTTTTCCTTTGAAAGAGAAGGATTGTTGAAACAATTTTCGTACCTGCTTAGGACTACAAGGATGCAATCTACAGACATGTTGCTCCCTCCACACTTAGGCACTTAGATTCTGTTTACCATTCAGCCTTGAGGGTTATTACTGGTGATAGCTGCAACACTCACCATTTTATCCTCTATAAGCTTGATTGGTCGTCCCTCGTCGAGAAACACAATAAGCACTTATGTCTGTATCTATAAAGTCCTGGTTGCCATCATACATAACAAATATGTTGCACTGGAACCTTGGTTCGCTTTTAACTTGCTCCTGGTTCTCCAGGTACCTCATTCTAGGACTAACCTTTGGAGGGACTGCTTTTAATAGCAGTGTAATAGAATCATGGTCTAAAAGTGAACACTCTCATACCTCTTAGACACTTTAGGAATGTACTTAATAATCATCCAAAACCTGCCTGTGAGTGTTTTAACTGATTTTTTTGGGGAATTCTATGTTTGTATGTCCCATGTTAACTATCTAACTGATTTTGTTTGTTACTCTTGTAAATTTGTATGTTGCAATCTCAACAGCAGTGTAAATAAGGGTCACCCTGAATGATTTCTAAGTGAATCTTATATAAAATTTAAAAAAAAATTACATTATGAATGCACAGTATAAGAAAAGTTCTATTAAGAACTCAATCATGCCCTGTTTTAATAACATGGGCTTCGGTATTACACTACAATACATATACAATACATAAAATGAGTGGATTGGCTAAGAAGTCTAACCCTAACTCATCAAACCCCATCAGAACTAAATGTGGGCCCTTCCGCCAACGGGTCTGTACACCCAGTTAAGTCGGCGCCATCACGTGAGCTTCACTAAATTCGTAGCTAGCAAGCAAATGCTACTTTAACGTAAAATTATACATTCTCTAACACGGTGGACAGAAATACAATTCGCCCATGACAAAAGAAAGTAACTATAATATAAACAGAAACTAGAGACTTTGCACTGGAATCTCACCTGTTCGCCCATCGTGGAACTCGGCCTCCGTTTTGATGTTAGCACCTTCCACCCTTTTAGCACGGCAGTGTTGATAGCGGCTAACGCTGGTTGTACGAATGAAAAGTACAAATAAACACAATCGTGCATGCGCACATCGTCTTGTAGCTAAAATACAGTAACATAACGTGCACAAAGTCCCGCTGCAAACCCCCATCTGCGTAAATGGCGTTCATACTTTCAGGTGCACAGGTGTCCTTCCAAAACGTGATGCGTGAAAAAAAATGATTAGTGTCCACGTGACCGCACACAGCCTGTTAAAGCTATAGCCCCCTTCCTCTAAAGCTGCCATTATCTAGATCAAACACTGATAACCTGTAAATACACTTTATATCCGTGGAAATAGCAAATAGCAGTTGATTTCGAACAGGGGCATAATCAGGCATGATATTTTTTTATAGGCAATATCTGATTCACATCTGATATGTATTTAGAATCTATTTTGAAACTATACTTAACTATAGACATGATTTACCAATATAAAAATGAATAAATGATCTCTTGCAATTATCCTAATTACTCCGTGACACCTGCTCTGTGTTGTAAAGACAACTGGTCCTTTTTTACTAGTTTAAATATCTTTAAAATGGCAAAACAACCAATAAAAGGCAGATTTCCACTTGCCAGAAAGTAATTGCAGCACCTACCTTGTGACTGGAAGATTGTTTCTGCCTCAATGTTTCTTGATTTCACCGTTGATGGTTATAGGCAGATTATAGCCCACTCAGCCCAAATTTATGGCTGACTGTACATTATTTTATAAAGAACACAAACAAAACTTTGTCTATCATGATATGTAGCTTCTTAAATGTTTTCTGTTTTAATCTGCTTCATCAAAACACCAACCCCCTTCTTGGTTTTATCAGTTGCAATTTGTTTTTATGTTGAGGTGATGTCATGTAAGAGTATGTATGCATCGCAAAATAGATGTGAACTGAAAAAAATAAATAATAAAATAAATCAAAGAATTCCGTTGTCATGGTTAATCAGTGTTTGTCTTTATTTTAATATACAAAAAGATGGATGTATTCTCATCTAGTTTATAATTCTAAGCATTTCAACTCACAGATAAAGTTACCATTCGTACTGTTTTAGTGAAACCAACCAACATATACCAAACACACACACACGCGCACACACACACACGCACACACACACACACAGTTCACATAAACAGGGAAGGTCACACAGTTCAGTCCAACATCCATTCACACAAGAAATGAACAATATGTTGACTGTAAATCAAAAAAAAGGCTTTGCTTTCACAGGATTCACACATGAAAAGGAAGAAACCCTTTACATTTGTCAAGTAAATATATACACGATAATTGATACTTTGCTCTTTTTTTTCTTTTGTGGTTTTTTTTTTTTTTTTTTTTTTGAAGATGAGACTGACTCCATGTTAGTGTTACTAACGAAGTACTGCATGAGGTAACTGGTTTTTCTGTTCAGAAGAGCTGGGTGTAAGACAGCATTTGGAGATTACCACTGATCACAGCAGCATTTTCCTACACGATCGTTGTTTTTCTGGCACAATACGTGAAAGCACCTGGCTCACGTTCAGCTCACACACAAAAAAAAATTAAACCCGCAGCATTTTTTTTTTCCTATCAGGACACTTTGACACGTGTCCTCATTAAAACATGATCCAGATGTGGTGAGATGAACGTCATTGATCCGCAGAAAAAAACTGCTAAGTCACAGCTGAGTTTAGAGTTTAATGACTTGAACTATGAGATTCAAATATTGCTGTATAATAAATATTGCTGGACCCTTGGACCACAGGCATGCCACTGTTTACATTAGTCCTAGTGGGGCTGCATTATCAAAGTCAATCAATCATGTGGTTATAGACACGTCAATGATTTCCAAACACTAAAAACATTGTTCTGTATTGATTGATGTTTTTTGTTCCACGTGTTCTTTACCAAAACTGCACAGGAGCAAGCGTTACAGACCACGGTCAAAAAAAATCACCATCTTTCCACAGCACTAATCAAAGCACAACAGACGAGCCTGTGTGTTGTCCAACGTGGCTAAACTATCACTGAACAGGTCTGAACATCACATCAGCGGGTTAATATTGAGGTAATACTGTTCAAACTGGCATTACAAACAAGTGGACAATCACAGAAGCCACCTGCCCCAAACCATTAGGATTTTTTCTCTTTTTTTCTTTTTCTTTTTTTTTTTTTGGGATGATACTAAGATTTCTGATGCAAGTGCTACCTACACAGCTTCTGATCCAGAGAACTGATACCATTATTCATAGAAATCAGTAACAGAACCACCATTTTATTATATATATCTATATATCTATATATATATATATATATATATCACAGGGCTAGTTTCAAATATGTAGAGGTGGAACTGAGAAATCCCTTTCTGTTTCTGTGAAATGAGAACTATAATGCCCTGATTTTTTTTTTTTTTCTTTTTTAATAAAACAGATCAGTGTTCTGCAACTGTGTGTGCACGTCTATTTACAAGAATCTGCCTCTCTTCTTTTAGGTTTGTACAGCATTAACACCAGGACAACTGGTCAGGCTCTATTTAAAAAAAGAAAAAAAAAGAAAAAAGAAAAAAAAAATCTCCACAGACGAAGAGGCCCAACCGGCAATAAAATATCTCAACTACTAAAACACAATAAAATACATAACACAACTTGATATACATGTAGAAAAAGCCTGAGGTACTTGTCAGAATATCTGAGGTCAGTCTGGAGGAGTAAGCAGCTGAGGGCTTACCCAGTCAAAAAACACAAAAACAGATTATTAGCCTCACATAATATCATGGATAGTTATCACATGTTAGCGTTATATTAACAAAGAATACATGTACATCTACAAATCCTTGAGTATCCTGGAATAGTCACAGCAGCATAACGGACATTCAATGTATGGTATTCATGTTATGGTACAACTATGGCATTGCATTTGAGACAAAGGCAACCATTTGAGCTCTCCTTGCATGACGTACAGTGACTGAGGTATCTGGGGGACTGGTGTCCGGCTGAGTCAACTGAACAAACACCCATGAAAATTAAAAACAGACATGTTGCTTACTCAAGTATGGCCCTCGCAAGGATAAAGCCCAAATACCTGTCCATGATTCTTACTTTAAAAACACTCTCTAGCCATCTCATATCATTTTATCTTCAATTCTTGCGCGCACACACACACACACACACACACACACACACACACACACACACACACACAAACACACAAACACACAAACCCACACACCCACACACCCACACACCCACACACCCACACACCCACACACCCACACACACACACACACACACACACACACACACAGACAGTTAAAATCAAGAATGTGTAACATTGCAACTCCAGACAGCATCCGTCAATGCCCCTGGCACTGGCAAAGGAGTAACTCTGAATTTTTACAATTAAAAAACAAAACAAAAAGAATCCAGGAATATGTCCATGATAGCTAGCTGGATAGCTTGGCTCTCAAATTAGAGAAAATATTTCAAAGAAGCCTACTGGATACCTGAGAGGTAGTTCCCCGGGGGACAAGACGCTTGTCCCAAATCTTCAAAAAGTTCAACATGTCCAATACAACTGTTCAGCTTCCGTTTTCGCTCCCTCCCTTACGATAAAACAGCTGTGCTCCAATGTTTTTGATCTTTCTTTTTTTTTCCATTCTGAGGCATTCATGAGTTTAAAATAAGGAAGGACACTCGAGAAAAAAAGAAAAACAATTGAGAAGCTTCGACCCCTGAGGAAGATGAATATATTTTTCTAACAGTCTCAAAACGGTTCTTCCGAGGTGTGCAGCACGTCGTCCGAGGTTTGGAGCAAAGATTCATTTCATTTGGCCGCAGACGATCATGACCAAGACAGGAAAACGAAAACTCATGAGGTAATAAAAAAATCAGACTAATGCAAACGAAATACATGAGGTAATGACAACATTTAAGATTTGACACATGGGTGTTATCAGATGTGCCCATCGCATAGCTTATTACTACTTCAAAACTACAGCAGATGGATGTGTTAGTAAGATCTGATTTTAAACACTGAAAACATTGAAAGAGGGAAAAAAAAAAATACCAGTATTGGGATAAAATAGCAGCTGCATTCAAGTTGCTAGTTGTTTTCTTATGTTTTTAAATATTCACGGAGATCCGCTGAGTTTGGGTTTGAAAAATAAAAAGTCAGGAGCTCAGGCGAAAGGATGGTGTCACCCATTCAGGTGCTGGAGTCTTTGGGAGGTAGGTCCTCGTTGGTGAGAGACGTCACAATGGAGACGGGGCTGTCTGAGGTAGTGCTGCTGATCAACCTGGCGATTTGGCCGATGCGCTCCTCCACGCAGCCGGCCGACAATCGTGCCTCGGCGTCGTGGTCCCAGCATTCCTCGATGGTCTCGCTCATCTGGCTCAAACCCTGTCGTCACAAAGCAGAAACCATAGGAGAGTGAGTTTGTGGTTGTATGTTCTTATCTTATTAAAAGACGGTTCGTTTTGTGCACATGTTGTCTGAAGGTTGACTCCCTCACCTTCTCAGAGTTTCAGAAACAATAAAAACATAACTGATTCATGCAACTATGACCTCGCACGACTGCGCTGTAGAAAAAAGGTTGAATGGCATCCTGGTATTGCTGTTGAAGCTGCAGGAGCCTATTCTTCAACTGTTACTCACAGGATGTTTGAGCCAGCACTCTTTGATGGCTGGACGCATCTTCTTGTGCACGACCACATCCTGCAGATCCTCCAGGGAGGGATGCTGGCCTATTTCATCCTCGAACGGCAGCATGTACTCGCCAACTGTACCTGAGGACGGGGCAGTAAGGCCACAGGATGGAAAGCATTACACAAAAGATCAAGTGCAGTAAATAGTTGCAGCATTTGGATTTTGCAAAAATCACAACTAGTTCTGTATTTAAACAGTAACTTTACCCACATTAGACCTTTGACCTGGATCAGATGGCTTTCCCCAGACAAAAACAAAAACTAATCCTTTGTTTATTAGGCCAGCCTGGAGCACAGTGACCTTATCACCTGTGAGTGAAGCCGCATTCCTGCACCATTTGACTCACCGTCGGTCTCTGAGCAGCGGGACACCAGCTCCCACAGCACCAAGCCCATGGCATACATGTCTATCCTCAAGAAGGAGTCTCGCTGGAAGTTGATGGCTCCCTCCAGCACCTCTGGAGCCATGTAACGCCTCGTACCCACCTGGTAGGACAATGGATTTGAGTCTTGGTGAGTGTATTTTCTAAAAAGTTTTTTTTTTTTTTTTTTTTTTTTTTTTTTTTTTTTTTTAAAAAATACCTTTTAAATCCCAAGATCGCTGGTTTTGCCCATTTTGTAAAAAACTTGCTACCTTAAAACCCCTGGACATTTAAAATCATGTAACCACATGCAGATTAAAGCAATGTGAAACAATGTTTAAGTATCCGATTTGATGCAGTCTCCAAACTTATCCTGTTACTCAGTTTTGAATTCTTTTCATGATGAATCATTAACCACTACAACAGGAAACAGACTCCTACTTACTGTAGAAACACTCACACACTCATGTGTTTTGAATCACACTGTTTTTTTAAGCTATCTGACACATCTGACCAGACAAACATTACAGAAATATTTCACTCCTTTTAAGTCAGTATGTAATAGAGATCCTGTAAATTGAAAAAAGCTGTATGGAGTCCTTGTGAATGTATCAGCAGAAACAAAGGGACATGTTACTTGGACATGTATCAGAGTAAGTAGAAGTTATTTCATACCTGGCCATGAGTGTCTCCGGGAGGTTTTCCTGGTTCAAATCGTACAGCGAGCCCAAAGTCTCCAATAACTGCAGTTAAATCATCTCGAAGCATCACATTCTTACTCTTGAAGTCCCTGGGAAAATAATTTTAGAAGTCATTACAATCCTGTAATTAGAGTTGTTAAGTCACACAAATTAGTCAATGAATTTTCCAGGGTAAAACTACTAAATCTATCTCTATTTATTTCAGGTTAGATTGGAGAAAAAAAAAAAAAAAAAAAAGGTAGTCTGGTTTTCAGATTTCAGACAGTTAATGTTTCTCCTACCTGTGTGCAATAGTGGGTTTTGGCCCCTCTCCCTTGTAGCTGGGAATGTCCTCATGGAGGTAGGCCAAGCCGCGGGACATGGTCTCTGCTATGTGACACAGCTCACTCCAGGTCACAGTGTTACCCTTCAGGTGGTCTGTCAGTGAACCCTGCACGCACACACACAAACACAAACACAGTTAGTCAAGCACGACCCTGAGAAGTGTTGTTTGATGCACAAAGGAGCAGGAAACGATTACTTTGGTGCTACGTTAGCTGGGTAATGTACTCTGGAAGATTTACCGGAGGTGTTAAAATTTATACAATATACTGTAGTTTAAAACATCATTCCAAGTATTGACGAAAATGGAAACATTTAACCAAACAGAGAAGACACAAGCATGTTTGTGACCAGAGGCAGACAAAAAAAAAACCCCTTAGGAGGGGCTCTTGATGATGTGTTTGTCTTCCCAAGAGAGATGTTGCCAACACAGTGTTTCCCATACACAGACTCTACTTGGGCGGCTGCCCAGGTAGATGAAGACCTGCCCAGGTGGAAAAAAAAAAAAAAAACCCACTTGCTTTCACCTTGGGTAAATCTCACGTTAGAACATCTTATTTCACTCTTTTCAAACTTACTAATATATTGCCACACGCCTGTTTCTGTTACGTGCACTGCAGTGAGTGAATGGGGACTAAAGGCTTATTTGTGTGCAGCAGCCTAGACAGCTTTGCCTAGTCTACATGTGAGGCATTTAGGGAACATCGGGAAATTGTATCGTCCACTCATAGTCTGCGTGTGAGGTGTTTAGAGGACATCTGTAAACCATTTATAACCTGGGTTACATTCAGTGTTATTAGTGCTATTTTTAATACTAGTAGAGTTTGACATAAATGCCTGTATTATTTTTACACTACATCTCCTTAAAGCATGCTGGGAACTGCAAACCTACGATAAGCAATAAAATCCTGTCTTTAATAAAAGCTGTGAGGGTCTTTTGTTGAGGTAAATAAAAGGCCTCTGCCTTTATTGGAAAGCAGTTCTGGTCAACATTGAAGCCCTATAACCTCTCCATGAATCTGCTATATGTGGGTATATAAGGGTGTGTAAGAGTAGATGTGCCCTCACCCTCTCATGAAACTCTGTGATGAGCCACAGCTCCGTCTCCAGGTTGCTTCCGTGCTTTTCTGCAGCGATGTAACGCAAGATGTTTTCGTGTCGCATCCCCGGAGTTATGAAAATGTCCCGCTCATTTTGCCATGACTGCTTATCCTACACAAACCAGAGAGGTATGATTAGGTCTCCATGACTCATACAAGCGATTCTGAAAATAACGGCGTCCTGTCTTATATGTTACACAAAGCTGGTAGCCTCAGTTTGTGCCTCTTAAATAAAACATTAAAATCAAGTGACTGTGCTAATCATCCTTTTTAATCAAAAATATATACTACTAATAATAATAATAATCTATGAAGAAACACAGAAGTTACGTTATAAGTTATAAAGTATTTCCGGAACCCTCAAAGACTCTTAACCATCTAGATGAAAAACATTCTGCCTGAATATCAAAAAGGTTTTTAACCCATTTCCCATGTTGTACCTCTTTTTCCAAACAAAGATGAAATTGGAAAAGAAATGATAGAATTTAGAAAGAATATATGATGCGAATCAAAAAAAAAAAATCATTATTTTATTATTTATTATTTCATATTTTCATACAAAACAATACTTTTACTTGTTCTGCAGGAAACAATAAGAACATATGTTGGAGATTAGAAAATATATTCGCAACATGAGAAACAGGTTGAATTTATTTCTTTTTTTATTTATTTATTTATTTTAAATCGTGCAACATACGGATCCAGATGGTTAGAAGAGTCTTAAAGGATTGTGGGAAAAGCTTCAGAGCAGCAGTAACTGTTATCTATCAACTTTCTGGGTTTTTCAAAGAGCAAAGGATTTATGTTTTTCTTCAAACTGTGATTCAAATATGATGTGAATACATGACAGGCACAAACTGAGGCTACAAAAACAATATTTGAGATAAAAAATAATAATAAAAAAATTACATATATGCCATGAATTACTATTGCTGTCGTACCTGAACAGGGAAGATCTTTACAGCAACATACTCGCTCATCAGTTGGGCCTTCCAAACACAACCAAAGCGCCCCCTGGCTTTGATTTCCAGCAGCTGCAGAGGTTTCAGACCCACCAAGGGGGATGGAGGAGTAGGTCCTGGATCCTAAATAACAGACAAGGAAAACATCTCATTCTTCTGCCAAATCCAACTCACACGATGTGACACCGAGACATCTCTTCCTTCTAAAATATTACGTGAATATTAAAAAGAAGGAGTTCGGTAACTAGCATGAACAAAGGCAGCCGACGTGGTTGATGAGCAGAGAGGAAATTCCCAACTCGCATGCAGTGAAAGACTGATCTCACAGACTGCCCCTTCAGGGTTGAGTATGGCCGGTCTCACCTCGCTAAGGTCTACATGGCCATAGGGAGGCTTGCGGTGACGGTACATCCACAAGGCCAGGACAAGGGCCAGGGACAGCACACAGAGAGGCAGCAGCGAGTACACCAGCACGTTGAGCAGAGACGGCACTCGGGGTGGAGGCCGAATTTTCACTGTCAAGGAGGAACAGAATAATTACAGCGTGTCAGCTTTACAGTGTAGGTTATTAGCGGCATCACAGATGTCCCTCACAGACTGACAATTGATTTTTAAAAAAAAAAAAAGAGCAAGGTAACATTTTATCGAGACTGTCTGACCTTGATGCTCGACTGACAAATGACTAGAATCTATAGAAATACAGCAAACAGGCGAGTGACAGTCTTTTAAAATCCTTTTTTTTTTTTTGTGATTTTCTAGTCAGCTGAAAGTAAGTGCAGGACTGTGCAGATAAAGAGACTGAATGCTTCAATATCAAACACATAAAACTCAAATAACCTTGTGTTATTGTTTCAGTTGCAAAATACTCAAGAGTTCTGTTTTCTTTACACATAAAGCCGACAGGGGATAATTTTGAAACATTTAAAGGAAAGAAATTCAATGTCTGTGTAAAATAGGGCTGCCCCCTAACAGTCGACCAAACGTTAGTCCATGAGAAGAGTCTTAATTGACCAAGTTTTGATCATTTGATCGCATGAAAAAAAAAAAAAATCCAACTCCACAGAAACTGCGGACTCTCAGTCAGTCATGGACAAACATCTTTTATCAGATAGATTGCAGTTATTAAATTGTAACATAACTGAACATCTTGGGTCGGCCTAACCTGGGCGTATTTAGTGATAAAAGCATCAGCGTTTTAGAGACGTAGCACAATGCACACCACAACCCACCTGTGTGGGGTGATTTCGAGAGGCTGAAGGACGACCCCAAGAGGTCGACACGCAAACTCTGCAGGCAAACATTCGCCTACCATTCAGCAGCCTCAGACAGGGCTTAGCATTTGAAGCACACGTAACCTAAAATTAGCCACTTAGCACTGCCACTCGCTCTAATGTTGCTGCTTGTTCCGACACATTGAGAATCATTACCTCTTTTGCAGGCGTTCTTAACAGGCAGCTGGCTTTGTGCGTGTGCTTGAAAAATTTAAGTTTTCTGTAATGTAGCACAGTGTTATACTCAAACCATTTTCTGATGCACGCCCTAAAATATAAATTTAAACAATTAAATTGATATCACAAACATATGATGAATAGTTGAATAATGGCTTGAACTTAAGACTGGGAAAATCTTTGGTCAGGGGCAGCCCTAGACTAAAACTTTATTGTATTTTTTTTTTTTTACTACTGGATGCAAGGCTAAGCTCTGCTCCCACTAATCAGAGGGGAAAAGCAAAGACCCATTTTTGTGCTTGCACTATATGTAGGATGCGTTTGCTGCTCACCTCGGTTGCCACTGCCAATCATGTCAGGAAGGTGGGTGAATCGTTCATTGCAGTAGTTGCCCTCGCAGCAGCAGAAGAAGACCTGAGGGTTTTCCTCCATGGAGACACACTCTTGCCTAAAAACAGCAGATGACACACTCTACATTATTGCTCTGATAACCAAACGCAGCAACAAGACACACGCCAAACTGTTTTAATAATTAACAATAGAACCAAAATACCATGGCAGTAAAACCAACACAGCTTTTCGGGACCTGGACTTTAAATCGAGGGACCAAGTAGGTGAGCGTCTCACGGCTCTGTTTCTGTTGTACATAAACTATTTAATGGCAAAGTAATATTTGTCCTGTTTATTCTCTTCAACCTTTTCCCTCCTTGGGGTTGGTTCCTGGCAATGTTTGCGCAATGTATGAACCAGCAAAGACTTCATTTTGTAGGGTACTGAGCGATCAAAATCTTTTCATTGAGATTACCTCATTACTCTTATCAAGTCAGCAAATGTTCCAAATTCAGTGGAAGCAGAGGATCTCTAACACTACATGAACATAACTGCAGCTCTCTGCTCTTTAATTCCACAATTAATCTTTGTGACATTGTCTCTTAACTTAGTCAGAACTGCCCACCTGTTCATCGCCTGCCATTATTTTACAAAGCTTTTCTCTCAGACTAAACTGACCAGGAGCAAATTCACCTTCCCAGGTCCCATTATATTCCCTCTGTGTAATTACAGCCAACAGCACTTCAGGCCAGAGCAATTTCCCCGGAAACCGTCAACACATTTGCAGCTGCGTCCAAACCTACAATTTGCATGCGTCCTATTTCCTATTCTAGCAAAGCTTTTAAAAAAAAAAAAAAAAAAAAAAAACTGCTTTTGATTTAATGTAGCCACATGCTGATCGACACCAAACAACCACTGAGTCACTAGAAACAGCCGTCATTTAGCTGCTATTCAACAACTCCGGTCTTGACCCTGAAATACTCAGACACTGCGGGTCAATCTCACAAATACTTTTATGATTTAACACTAGAAAAAGTATTGCAGAAAAATAAAAGACATTTTATACACAGCTATGTCATCTAAGATCTATTATTGCAGCTTGTGTTCATGAGCCACCAGAGTTCTCCATCTTGTTCGAAATGCTGTGGCTTGAATATTAAAAAACGAGATAGTTTGATTGTGCCACATAACTCTGCACAGGCTGCTGATAAAGGCTAGCTTAAAATTCTCCTCCTGACTTACAAAATCCTGAGTGGCCTGGTGGTGCCGCCGTATCTAGCTGCCATCATCGTGCTGTGGACACTGAGCTGCAGACTACCTGGTTATTTCCAGAGAGAATAAATGGGAGCAGTCCTGGTTGCCCGAGCATTTTCCCCAAAATAAACCCCCACTTGCGGAAACCACTTCCTCCGTCTGCTTTTATATCAAGATGGGAAACTTAATTTTGAGATTACTTCCCTCCATCTTCAACCTGTTTGGCTGGCCTTAGTTTGTATTATATAACATATAAACTATTTACACGCCATATACTGTGTTGTGTATTTTGTGTGCGTATGCGCCTTCTAGTTTACATTTGGTTTTCTACATGAAATGAAACAATTCTTCAATTAATCGAGCGAGAGAAAATCAATAATCAATGCTATTTTTTTGCTATTTAATCAATAGTTATTTTGATGATCAACAATGTTTTCAGTCACTTTACAAGCAAAAATTGTAAGTATCGTCTTCTCAAATGTGTATATTTTCTGCTTTTCTCTTTTTTATATCGTTGTAAATTGAACATCTGCTGCAGGTTTGGAGCACTGATCTTAAAAAATAGCAACTGGATCTTTGACATGTTAGAGTTGAATTGATGATAAAATAATCATTAGTTGCAGGCCTATAGGATTCTATTCTTAGCTTTGTGTACAGTGTGTAAGTAGTGCCATTTATATTTACAGTATATATAATGTGTATTGAGACTAATGTTGAAGATAAAAGGACTGTAAATAAGCTTTTCAATCAATATGCAAATGGCCACGGTTAATCTGGTAATGTGCATATCCTGCATCTCTTTGTTTTTGTTAAGATGGGATGTTTTCAAGAGATGCATCTTCAGATTTTCCATATTAATAAATTTGGTGCTCCATTGGTTACACTTTTTAAGATGTCAGATATCTGCTGTTCCCAGAGCATGAGATGACATCTTTAAATTGCTTGTTTTGTCTGACCCCGAGGTGAAAATCTAAAGATATTCAAGTACAAAAGAGGAAAACAGCTAATCGTCACATTTGATATGCTTCAAATGGCAAATATTTGCCATTTTTCCAGTTGATGGGCTAATTGACAAATTGTTTCAGAGTTACATCTACTATTTCTGGCCCTGAGAAATACCCCAGGTCATAGGAATAAAGACGCACTGAACTACATGTGGGTGCAGAAGCTGTTGTACTCGCTGCCAGTCACTCTGGGTGTGAGCCAGATACCTAGAATATAAATGTAAAAACACGGTGGGGATGACCTCACTCAGTGACCCGACCTGTCATAGCAGTTGAAGTCGTCCAGCCAGCAGCCTTTCTTCACCAGCTTGATGGTCCCTGAGGAGTTGAGCCAGGAGGCATAACAGTGCAGTCGCTTGTCTTTCTCCCCCTCGCAGCGCTCGAAGCCGCTCTGGTTGGTCCTCTCCGTACGCCAGTTATCATTGTAGTACACACACTCCCGGGTCTCTGCTTCGCCCAGACTGTACCCTGAGATGGACAGAAGGCCTCAGTCAGCTCACAACGTAATGAATTGAACCTCAGAGGCGGAAACACAGACATATGGTGCAGGATCCGTTCAGTGGCACGAAGAAACATCTCTGTGCAGAGCCTCTATCATCACTCTGGCACACGGCCAAGTTTGGGAGCTCTCTGTAGTAAAAAGGGAGTTCCTCTGGGCTAAGAAATTGTTGCTGAATAGTAGCTCAGCATAATACCATTCACGAAAAAAATCTTTTCAGAGAGTAACAAGTGAAAAAGCGGAAAATGACAGGATTTAATTGGCAATAGAAGAACAATGATCTACCCTGCTGTGGTATAGAAACATCACACACACACACACGGACACACAGAGCATGCTACTTCTTATAGATAACACTCCTGCATCCTCCTGGAGTGTGACACATCTGGGAAGACAGATAAGACCTTCTTCTTTAAGGGGAAACCATGCCCAAATGTAACAATAGCTGTCAGTCTCCTGATATTGAATTCCTTATTTAAAAAAAAAGGTTTTATTATCCCTCTTAGTGGATTTAATGTTGGACACACTCATGGACCAAATCGGAGACATGTTTCTGATGAACATTAAAGCAGATAGCACAGACTGTACGTGTCATTCACAATATCTTATGGACATTCACTCCTAATCTTTGTTCACAGAAAAAAATAGTGCCTGTCTCTTTAAATCCCTGCCTATAGGAGGCTGCCCATCCCCCAGTGTTACCCCCACCAACCCATTACACACACACGCACGTAGGCACACACACACACACATCCACTTACACATCCATGCATTTAGCTGTCCAGCAGCATACAATGGACTTCATTATGGCAATATAGGGATGTATGCAATGACCAAACATCATGCTCATTATTAAGGAAGGAAGGTAGTAAGGACAAATAACACACACACACACACACACACAACAGTGATGCTCAATGCTCCATTGAGCGGAGATGGCATTTCTGATATCTGTGGTCACATGATCCGGGAGGACTTTTACTACAAGATCATTCCCCAACCCCCCCCCCCCCCGTCACTTACTGAGGCTTACACCACAACAACATGAATTCTGGAGAAGCAGCTTATACTATACACTCCCGAGTCCTAATCTATAAACCATAAAGGCATTAGCCACAGAGCTATTTGCCACACAAGAGACAGCTGTGCCTCAATGAAATTTTTATTACAGTTCGAGGAAAAACTAAAAAAACATTTCACTAGGGGGAAGGTGGACCTTATTGTTTTCAAAATAACCATTTTGTCACGTTAAACTAGGGCAGGTGTGTGTCTCCCATTTGAGTTGCAAAAAAAAAAAAAGAAAAAAAAAGAAAAAGACAAACAAAAGAAAAACAACCCTCATGCTCAATTTCACGTGGTACCAAGTCAGAGGCTTTGGAATCGGAGCTGTGTGTAACAGTAACCTGAATTCAGAGTAAAGACCTGTCTTCAGACGAACAGCTGATGTCTCTTCAAATCAAACTCCATTGATTAATTTATTGAAAAAAAACAAAAGAAGGAAGTGTGGCTCTTGTTCAGGCTGTAACCACAAAAAACAGAGTGCAGACCTGAGATGTAGCCTATAAGGTTTCAGGATGTTGATGCAGCTGCTGCCTTCTATTTCTGCCACTGTTAAGAAAGGCGAGGGGGGGACGCAACAGTTTTAAATTTGGATAATTTTTTTTTTTTTTTTTTTTTTACATTTCTCAGCATTAAAACATTTAATGACACTGGAATGTCTTTTTTTAAATGTAAAAAAAATAGCAGCTATTGCTTTAACGATTCTCAAGGGAAAATATATGTGTTTAAGCGACAAACAGAGAAAAGCCGATTATGGTGAAGAGAATCAAACCCCCACAGCTGAACGATAGCATCCACTGCCAACAAAGTTTAAACTACTATCAAACGTAAACTCGTTCGCGGGTCGAAATTTCAAACGGAGACAATTACACACACACATACAAAAATGTGTCCCCCTCGCGATGAACGAGTCGAAAAAAGACTGTTGCGATTTCTAAACCTACAATAGGAGCTTACCTGCGCATAAAGTTCCCAGAAGAAGTGAACAAGTCAGCCATGAAAAAGACATGTTCCGTTTTAAATAGAGGACAGAGATTTCCGCCGCTTTCCGTCGCGAACATTAAAACTCAGGTTGTCCAAAACATCAGTCCAGGATCAAAACGACCACAGGCCTTCGGTCCCTCCAGCAGTCTAACCACCACCACCACCACCACAACGCGTGTCAATAGCCGCGACGGTGCAACAATGTTGCGAGAAAAAATAGGAGCGATTAATTGACTGTCGGGCTCTTTAGTCCAATACTAGTGCAGCATTTCGCATCGGAAAGAGGATCCAAACACCGAATGAGAAGCCGCTGAACCACCCGAGACGAAAACCCAGCGCTCTTTTTAAGGTTATTCACTTGAATAGTAGCACCGCTGCGTCGGGAGGTCGGTCGGGGTTTACATGCATGTTACTGATCTGTGTCCAAAATGGCTTCTAAATGGGGAATGGGCTGCAAACAGGGAAACCCGGATGTGTAAACACAAAGAGGGGAATTCAGGCAGCCAGCGAGTGACCTTAACGCGACACCGTAGATACACGCCTGAATTGACTTTATTCCAGCCTCGTGTCGATAATTATCACATTATTTTAATCATATAACCCCCCCCCCCTCTCAACAAAAGGAATAGGAGGTGTTAGGGGGGGAGCTGTGTGTTTTCAGCGCTGGTGTTTGTCCCGGTTCCAGCTGATATAACACTTGCACTTTCTGTCGTCAGAGTTGGTGTTTTACAATCTAGTCTACTTTTTCGGTTCTTATCATTTAGTCAAAGGTTAAAATTATAGTTTTTGTCAGTTCCTATTGAATTTACCGGTTACACACAGAGAAGAGTACAGCATATTTGACTTTTTTAAAAAACAGTAGTGAAATAATGTGCAATATTTTAGTTGCGAAAGAACAGCTCCATAACCCAATACAAAGTCACATCCAGGCTACAAATACAGCCTGTATTTCCATTTTATTTAGGGTTCTCCAATACAGTGAGCCAGCGTTTACAAATTTAAATCTAAATGTATTAACTCGCACTATATGTTGGCAATATTGTAGTTTTGTCGATATGATAAATATCTTACAGCCTCTCAAGTAGTAGCCTGTGATAAATTCTTAGGTGTTTTTTCCCTATCTGAATTATCTTTTATGCATAAGTGGCAGTGCTAAAAATAGCTGACCTAATTTGGAGTAACGGGATACAATAAATGCTATTTAAAATGTATTCGTTCTAATTACTCATTTCACCACCGCGCAGAGTTAAATATAAAATAGATCCCACACACACAGCAAAAACCGTGGATCATAATTTTATTCTTGTTATAAAACAGGAAATGTATGACAATAAATCTTCCCTAATTTCCAAACATTCTATTCTTTTAATAGTCTATGGTATTTCTGTTGATAGTTTCCAGATAAACTATGACACTGCATAAAAAAAAAACAAAAAGAGAGACTGGTCAGCCAGTCTCCCAGTCAACAGACAGTCACCTGTACAAGTATTCCCCTAAAAGAGTTTAGGTTCAAGCTCTTTCCCTCTGGCTAATTGGGTATGTTTCTCTTTTGTGATCTCCTCTCTTAAAGAGTTTGTCACTTCATTAGAACAACTAATTCTAGGTCTGAAATAGAAATAGTTGCCCACAATAATAAAGTATCCTGGCACATAGTTGGCTTTGTTGCATTGAAGACACATTATTTCTGAAACTGAAGTCCTTTGTGTAAAATAATAAATCCCATCATCACAGAAAATCAACAGTGACATTGTTAAAATGCCATTAAGCCTCGCTCGCAGGTCCCTCTCTCTTTCTCATCTTTGACATCCAGACTAATGGCATGTTGGTGACACCCGGCCAATTCATGCAGCAAATGGCCGAGGAATAAGGTTAGCCATAGGTAATCGCTGTTAAACTAGTGCCATTGAGTGTAACTCAAGACAAAGCATTTCCTCATTAAGCTATCCTATATTGACCCTGTAACTCAATAGAGGCCATGAGCGAAACCTTGTAAAGATAGATGTTCTGTTGTCATGACAGTTGGAAGCGAAAGCACGGGTGCTCATTAAAGGTCCAACCATGGTGTGACATTCCTAGAAGAATGAGAGCACGGGGTGAAATGATGCAGTGGTACTTAAAAACATGAAAGCATGAGCTTGATGCTGTTGTAAATGCAACATATGCCTTCCTGTCCTCACTTCAACTGCACTGTACACAGCACCCGTACACAGTGCGTAAGAGCTGGCATGTGATAAGATTGTCAGACAAACTGAATTTAAGTGGATAAACTCCATATACAGATTTGTTAATCAATGAATGATTCAAAAGTTTTTGTTTCTGTTCATGAGTTTTCTTCTTATGTATCCAAAGCATTCATATGTTTTTATGTGTTTGTGTCTCTGCAGCTGAAAAGTCTCCATTGTGCTCCCTTTGAAAACCCTGAGGTGAGCGTCACGACTTCACAGTAAAATAGATAAATGACACTAGGTGGTAGCAGAGCTCCCTCGGGCAGGTGCCGATATACTGCTTCAACCTGTGCAATATATCTTTTTCACTCTCTATATATACAGTGTATGAATTTGATTCATACACTGAATATATAGAGAGGGTACACACTTTCTATTGTTCACTGCTGAATGCCAAACATTCATTTGTATGAGGGAATGTGTCTGTTAAAAGGTCTGCTTTTTGAGTCATTGTATGTTTTAATTTTGGGCATTTTGTTTAGTTGATTATTGGGCCGCACGTTTTTTTCCTCTTCTTTTCTTTAATATCAGAACATTTTAATTTCTCTCCTGGATGAATAAAATGTCCATCCATCCATCTGATAATATGTGCTCAGTGTTATCCAAGATGCTTTGTATAACTCAGTAATGAATCCATTAGTATGAGGAAAAGGTACAGCACTTAAAAGTTTTGTAGTTATGGCATATAATAGAAAGCAATTACCTGAATCACAGCCTGCAGCCATTTCTACAACGCAATGTGATGGTTAAGTTAGGAGTTTCACACTGAGTGAGCATAAAAGGGAGAAAAAATGGAAATTGAATATATTGTAGGATCACTACTTTATTTCAGCCTTTGAATAATTCAGTACAAAAATAAAACAACAAGCAATGTCAAACATTTTCTTCATCTTTTATTATTTTACAGCCCCACAGAGTCAGCATGACATTACTTGACAGTGTTTTTTTTTTTATTATTCCCTCAGCGGATGTTGGCATCCCTGCAGTCGTGCTGTTGGTGTGACAGTGAGCTGGTTTTTAAAAGTAGTTTGCCACCCTGCGAACAGACTGGATGTTGGGGTTCTCTGCCTGCCACTCGATGTGGGTGGTGTAGTTTCCTCTCTCCACAATGTACATGCGGCCACGGTAGTTAGGCTCCTCATACAGCACCCAGCTGTTTGGAAAAATACAGAAAAACAATGATGTTTACATGCGCAACATCCAGTGTAAGACAGGGGATAAATAAAGTCAAAGCAAGGCAGATTTATGTATATAGCAGAATGTGTACATGAGGTAATTTCAAAGTGTGTCTAAACACATACAAGGCTAATTTTGTGACATACTCTGACAGTATTCTACCTCTCTTGGCTTATGTACATCTAAAATAGATGTTTATGGTTTAAAAGGCAGGTTTAATGACAAAAAACAATTATGAAACAACACATTTTCTCACTTACCTTTTTATGGTATGGAGTCACAGATAGTTTTGAGTCACCTCTGAGATTTTTTAAAAGAAACCTTCTCTTTTAAAAAAACAATATTTTGGGGGATGGTATATGTATACACATATATATGTGTTTGTATATATATGTATAGAGAGAGAGAGAGAGAGAGAGCAAGAGAGAGAGAGAGACTGGTATGCTGTTCATAGTCAGCACCTTAAACCCTTTGGCCACCAGGGCAGCCCAGCTTTGACCCTAACACAGTGAAGATGAATGAAATTTTGTTTGTAGCACTAAAATCATTGAAAAAATAACATGTAAAAACAGTTACAACAGTTTCCCAGTTACGGTCTTTTTTCTCTTTATCTCGCCTTCAGTTATTAGGAGAGGTCTTTGTATAAGCCGCTCTTGCACAAGCTTTTGTTTACTTTACATTCATGTATATCTGAGTATATGTAGGTGGAAGTGTGTTTGTATATGGTGAATATCTGTGTACATATCATATCTATTATAATAATTGTATTTTTCGAATGTGCAAACAAAAGATGTTCAAAGACATAGTCTCCATTAAAACTGCTGGCAGTGTGTTTAGTGACATGTCCAGGACACTTTTTCTTGAAACTGAATTAATAAATTAATTCAGTTTTTCTTTGGTGGGTTTTCAGATGGTGACCATGAAATCATCCCGATTTGAGTATGGCATCTCCTGCCTGCTTTCTGCTCCTATGTAATAAAGGCAAAACTTACTTAATAATATTTTTTCGATGCTTTGAGCACCACAGACAAAATTAATTTGTCCTCACAGCAGGATATGCCATATATTAAGCTCTCCGCATGGTTAAATACCAAAAGAGGCATGTGAGAAAATATGCCTTTTGTGATTAGAGTGACCTTTAACAGTTCAGATAGGGTCACACAAAGTGATAAAGTTCACTAAAGTGCATCCATGAGTGAGGTATAATGAACCAAAAATATTCTATATGATGTTGTGTGCCTCTGTTTTGTGTCTTGTGTAGTTAAATCAAACACTTGATGCAGGGACACATACGCTCCGTCTCCGTAGACCTTGATGGAGTTGATACAGTTCTTTGTCAGGCCTCGGGCTTGCAGGAATGGACAGTCATCGCACAGCTCCACACACTGGCCAGCGAAGTTGTCTCCCTCGAACAGCTCCATCCTGTAGTGCTCTCCATGCTGCGGAGGATAATGACATGCCAGCTCGCTGAGTCATAGCAACAGTGTTAGGCTTCACCTCACTGCAAAGAACCAAGGCCTTCTCTTTGATGTGACAGGGACTGTATTGTGCGCGCGAACACTTGCACCTATAGAAATCTAAAGGTTGAATGTACATGCGGATGACGATATGTATAGCCCACGGTGTGTCTGTGTGGCTTTTCTTTCAGCTGATGCTGTAAATACATAATGTTAGAAGCAGTAAGTCGCTGATATGCGTCAGTGCTGCGAGACTAATTCATGCCCCCTTCTAAAATCAAGAAATCAAAATGATACTGACTTTGATTTATCTAAAAAAGAAGATGAGGCCACACAAATGCCAGTCTGCCATTCTTTTTTTTTTTTTTTTAACCAACCAAATATTTGTCTGACTCTGGGGTCTCACATACACACACCCTTACCATCCTGATTGGCTTGCAGGAGCCCATGTGATCATTATGGGCATTCCAGCGCTGGAATTCAGGGTACTCTCCATGCTCCAGAATGTACTGTTGGCCCTTGAAGTCTGGGTGGTCAAAGCAGATGAAGGCCCCGCTCTCCACACGGACAGAGTTGACCCTGTTCATGAAGCCTCGGTCCTGAAAGTTGTCGCAGTCGCTGCAGATCTCCAGCTTCCTCCCAGTGAAACATTTTCCCTCATAGAACACGATCTGTTTTTTTTTTTTTTGCCACAACAGTGAAGATTAAGATTTTTCTTTTTCTCCTAACAGATACTTGCTGTAAAAAAAAGGGTTATTTCTGACTTACACTGAGCAACAGATAATCAGAAAGATATGTTGAAAAACACAGTTAGGTGTAATATCTGAGGTTTGAACAGTCATCTACATCACTGTCTTTTGGTGATTGACTTTTTTGTTTTGTGAAGCACACTGCATAGGTTTTGGAAAACCCCCTCTGTGGATGCATCCTTGCTGTGATACTCACCTTTCCTGAGTACTGAGACATTTTTCCACTGTTAGCTGTTCCAAACTAGTCACACAGTATAAGAGTGGAAAAATTTTGGACACCCAGATATATATGGGCGACAGAGAGCATGGCGGTATCGCGAGGCCGCTGCAACAAAAGCACAACAATGGGGGGTTTAGACATTTTGCCACATGGACAGTTTCCCTTACATGTACCAGTGCTGATATTGGACTTTGGCTCTAGACGGCGAAACAATAGAGTGAGAGAGATTTTGCTTTGATTGGGCTTTGAGGGTGATGGTGCACTGAGTCAAAGCTGCAGAGTAATATTTGGGTTGGTTCCAGACGAACGGAGACAAGGAGCAAAACAAACACAGGGAGGGAAAGTGTAAATAAAATGTGAAAATGTGAAAAAAAAAAGAAAGGAAAAGAGGTGCGGTCACATAGTGGATTTCGATCTACTTATCCGCGGGTTTTAATGGCAGCAGGGTGAGCATGTCATACTCACTCACAAAGCAGATTTCCCTCCGGCTTTTCTTTTTGGATGCCTCTCTGTTGTTGTTGTTGCTGCTGTTGTTTTTTCTCTGCTGCTGATCCAGAGAGGATCCCTGGATCCTGGAAATCTGAGAGGAGACTCTCAGTTACAACATCACACGGCAGCAGATTTAAGGTGAAGCAGGTGAAGCAGGATACAAAAAACAAACAAAACTATTGTCATATACAGTAGCAGAGATAAAACACACATTTGAAAAGATGGAAGTGGAGTTTCACAGATTAGTGAGTGTGGGGTTTTGTCTTTTTAACAGACTATTAGCAGGAATAACACCTGAAGAGGTCAAGAGTCTGTGCAGGAGATTTAAAATAGGATTTAAAATTTTAGATTAAAGATTCTTAATTTTGTTTTTATTTTTTAAAAAAAGAAAAGAAATAACACATATTTTTCAATCAGCCACTCAACTTCTGTTTTATTCTCTTTCATTGGATTACATTAAATGCTACTTCAAGTCAATTCAGACTCTCTGCTTTGTATTCATTGAGTCTTTTCATGTTGGGTGCCAATGTTGTTTAACCACCATTAAGCCAAAGGTATTATACCTCATATGGGTCTGACATAATCCACCTAAAGCAAACATACTGTACCTTTGACTAATATCCCCCTTTCCTATTAAGGTACAAATCCCACTTGTATAAATCTTTATTTGAGTCTTTGACAAATGCATACATTAATATTTACAAAAGTCTCATGAATTATGTACAGTAGTTGACTAAGGGCGGACAGCTCTTGCATAATGCAGGAATCTGAACATTGGGAAACTCTAACCCCTGAACACAGTGTACCCAAGGTGAGTGTGGTGCTAAGCATATAGACCTAACAGAGATACACTACTTAATGGGACGTTGCCATGACAGGACAAAGTATGAACAGGTATAAAAAGAGAGAAAGTCGATGAATATGTCTCAGTCATTGGCAGTAACCAAGACAGACAAATCAGTCAGGTATGTGCACGTAGAACGACAGGTTTTCGCTCTTGTTATGTCTGTTTAAGCTTTTATGTGCTGTTTGTTTTTTAAGTATGTGTAATAACAATCAATATAAAATCAATATGTGCTAGAAATTTCAATATGTTTGCTATCAAATGTCACTATCACTATCACAAGCTCTGAATTTGTTTCAAATATTTAAAATCAGTTCCTTAAAACTATATTATGTCTGACACTAAAAAACTCATGCACAATAACAGGAGCACTCAAAGGTACAGTACATGTTGTATTATCAAGTCTGTGCTTTATCTCTCCAAGGCTGCATTATTGAACAGAACAATGAAGCTGTTGGTCTTGGCTTTAACCATCGCCCTGCTGTTTACAGCTGGTGAGTCTGTCACTGATTCTCCACTGAATAAACACAACCTCTGCTGGGAGATCTGCTTTCTCTGTCGCTGCACAGGAGCACAATCACAGCAGACCTGTCACTGACTCAAAGGCAGGTCTTCACACTTCTCATCTGAGAAGTGAAAGTAATTGTGATGGTCCGAGCGCAGTGTCATCCTACATGTCTCTCTCCTCTTCCTTTAACATCTAAGTCGACTAAATGACACCAGAATAACTTGCAAATTTACCGGTCACATTTTGACAGATTCGAATGACAATCACTGAGGCCAGAGAAAAAGCAATGACTGGAATATTTTCTTGCTTTTTTTTACTACCAGGTGAAGCCCTGAACTGCCACCGCTGTGTCTCCAAAAAGGCCGGAGGCACCTGTGAGCTCAGTGTGGAGACATGTAAACCAGGGAAGGATGGCTGCGCTGCTGCCAGGTTCCTCAGAGAACCATGTAAGTTTATCATAATACTCAAGCTGTTCTATCATTAACAAATGGACTCAAGACTATGTACATACACTATAGTTAAACATAAAATATTATCTTTGCTGTGAATTCTAGTTATACTTGTATCAAGAAAAAGTTGACAGTAACTTCCTTAACATTGCTTAAACAGTATCAGGCAAGGTAAGCAGAAAGTCAACTGAATGTGAAATGTTTGTGAATTGTATAAATATGTGAGAATTACATTGTTTCTAGCACAGTGAAGTGCTTCTTACATAATAAAAAGGCACATTTTTTTAGTTAAACCTTTTCCTTTCTTTACTTTCTAGATGGCCAGTACCAGAAATGCATGGCTTTGTCAGACTGCAGGATGCTGAAGATGAATGCCTACATCAACATAAAGTGTTGTAGCGATGACATGTGCAACACCTTTTAACATTCAATATAAAAGTCAAAGAACATTACAATCTGTTGGAGTACGTGTACGTCCGTGCAAGGAATTCATCCCCCAGTGACTTCTGCAGGCTGCGAGCTGCTGTAGGCAGCTCCCTGGTGTGAGCGCATGTACAAATTCAAAGAAGTTACATTTAAAAAATGAAATAAACACTGTAAACATCTTATCCTGGCAAGTTTGAAAAACAGCAGGTGCCTGTGTTCATTCTTGCGTTTGAAAATCTTTGACTTTTCCCGTTTCTTTTTAACTGCCACATCAAGTCAATGACTAAATCTGCCTGCCGTGATCATAAAAAATAGCAGGAGTCAGAGGCTTCATGTTCAGGGGTTACCAAATCTTATTCTTACTCTAATTTCCGGCAGGTTGGTTTATTGTCAGGGTCATTTCTCAGGTCTTCACTGAACAATCATTCAATGAGCTTCCGAAATTTCTAATTAGTATAGGAGCAAGAATACATCACTGATTATCTTTTTACAGGATGGACCCTCTCAGCCACTCCGATAATCTATCAGTCAACTGTTCCTGTTGCTCAATCATTAAAAAACATAAACAGGCAGCATTTAGTTACAGTACAAAGGGCTGGAACAAACTTCCAGAAGATATAGGACTCAAGATTTTTAAGTCTCAGGGTCAAGTGGAAGTAGTCGAAATCTCTACGATATCAAGCTTGAGTGTTTCTGTTCAAATACCAGAGGGAGTCGGAGGACTACTCTGGAGTTTTGACATTTTGGGTTCAATCCTCAGGCTCTGCAGTGAATATTGAAGTCCAACACTCAAAGCAAATATTCACAGGCTCTGGGAAAGAAGGGTCAGTTGTCAGGCCAAAGAGCTCATGGTGTTAAAGTTCTCCTTGGAAGATTTGTGGATGAGTCTGAACCTCGAGTGGCTCAGTATATATACTTATAGTGCATGCCTCTCTCTGCTGTTTGAACAGAGACACTTGAGCTCTAGTTCTTAGAGATTTTGACTCTTTTCATTGGATTTTAAAAGTTAATGAATCTCATTGCTGCCAAACAGTACTCAAACTCCCTCAGCTATCTCACCAGCACAACTTTCTCTATTTCTTATAGCCTTCCAAGTCTTTCCTCTGGGTCAAGTTGCCTCAGGGTCAAACCTACAACGTTAACACTTCTGAATGATCCTGTTACTTGTACCTCTTTGCCACCATGGTCTACCATTGCTTCTCCCAACTTTTCCTTTGGGCAGCACCCAAGGGAAAGAGTCAAAAGCTCATAGAAGAAGTGTGTAAAAGGTCCTTCACTAAGTAGCTTGACAATGTTAGAGGACTGCTTAGAAGTTTGAGGTTGGATTGTCAGAAGTTCTGTGAATTCTGCGACCAACACTCAACTTAGTGAATTTTGAAGTCCGACTTCCAGATAGACACAAAAGGTCCCAGAAACACTGCTCAAATGGTCCTGATCAAACAGCTCAGGGAGACAAAGGACTATTGAGAAGTTTTGAGGTCAAGGGTATGATTATTGTGATGCTCACTAAATACTGAAATCCAAATGTTCAAAGAAAAAAAGTCAGAAGCTCTGAGAAATAGCATGTCAATATGTCTGGTCAAATAGCTCAGGATGTTAGAGGACCATGCACCTATAGAAAACACTTTAAGGCTCTAACAAATGTCTTTTCACAGCAAGCTCAGAGTGTTAGAGAAGTACTTGGAGGTTTTGAGGATGTGAGTTCAATCCTTATTAGGCTCACTGAATTTTGAAGACCCACAATGAAAGACCCAAATGTTATAAGAAATACAACTTGGAAGCGTCAGAACAAATGCCTAAGGGTAACTGCTCTGAAGTTTAGAGGTTGTGGTTCAATCCTTGGTGAATTTTGAAAATTTCAACACACAGATGAAATATTTAAGGAGTCTTAAGAAAGGTGGCTTTAACCAAATAACACAGCATGGAAGTTCTGAGGATGTGGATTTGATCCTTTTTTTTTCTCCAATTTTTGAAGTCAAAAGCCCAAAGTGAAGCCTGGAAAGCACAGACAGAAGCTCTCAGAGTAATTACTAGTGTGGTGGGTTAGTTTGCAGTGTCTGGTTCAAATCCAGTTTATTCTCTGTGTTACTTTACTGACTCTTAACAGAAAACTAAACCAGAGACTTTTGCTATTGGCTGTTCCAAACTTAACTGATTGCACTGATTGACATGGTTATTACATAAGCAAGAATTAAAATGCTACTACAACACGTTTCCACTATTAGTAGGTGATTTTACTAATGTTACCTTGTGGTTCTTTTTGCTTTTAGTGTTTTTCCTGTTTCTCCTCACAGTAATCCCTTTGTTTTCTTTATTGAACTGACTCATTAGATTCCTCCCTGCACTTCAATCTTGCACTCTCTCCAGTTTATTTCAGTCTTTTTATCCCTCCCGCAAAGGACATTGAAATATTTTTGACTGTGTTCTAAATAAATAAACATCAGTAAAACTAATGATCCACAGTCAAGCCTGCTTTACATAACCACTTTTTGCTTTAATGATTACAATCAAAAACATTTGTACAACATTTTCAACATTAGAAAATGGATGCAGATTTTTTTGGCTGACAGTAACTGCTATGAAAACAAACTGAGGGACAGAGAGGTGGATACTGCGTGGAGATGAAGTAGAAAAAGAGCTGTATATTGGAGGGACCAAACAGCTGGTGATGTATCAGAAGAAACGTCCATGTTTACTTAACCATTTTAAGAGTGTATGCATGGCAGATATGACATTTCTCCTCTTCTTCTCCTATCTCGTGTTATTTAAACAGATAAGGGCCCATAGCCTATATGGGAGCGGCATAATGAGAAGCTAAGATGCATCAAGCCATTACTGTCTCTGGCCTTACGCTTGTCGTCATTACTGTGCACAGGAAAACATTTTTTTCTGA